TATATATATATATATATATATATATATATATTCTTTTCTTTATATTAATAAATATAAAATAAAAATAAATATATTAAAATCTCATTATATCATTTTATAATAATTAAATTTTATATATATAAAATTAAAAATGATAAGAGAGAAAAAATAGAGAAAAGAGTAGAAAAAAGAAAAGAGAAATATAAGATTATTTTATTAATTATTATATTTTCTTAGGTTATTGGAATATTTCTTCGTTAATTAATTACATGTAGATAAATATATATGTATCTGTATAGAACAACTTATTTCGGCCAAAATGATCGTGAAATAAATACTAATATTAATCAAATTTACGCATTTACCTTCAAATTATTTTGTTATTTCTTAGAACTTTTATTAAATTTGTTTGTATATAAATAATTCATATTCTTACTATTACATATGTATATAAATGATATACATATGTAATAGTAAGAATATGAATTATTCCATATTAAAATCAGCACTTTTAACCATAATTTTATTAATAATTTATATATAATTACCTGTGTAACACGCAATTCGTTACGCAATGACGTGCGATCACGTACTAAAAGTTAATTTCTTTTGGGAAGCTATATTCGTAGTTTTCAAAGATAAAAATCAGAATAAACCCTCGCATCTGAGTAATTACGCGGATTAAATAATCATGTCCATTTACCATTAACAGTCGTCTCATGGGAGAAAAAAAAAGGAGATAAAAGTACCAAATATTTGAATATAACTGCTTAACAAGCCAAAAAACTATTTATAGTTGTTTTATAATTTATAATTTATTTTATAATTTATTTCATAAAATACAAGTTTCTCTCTTACTCTCCTTCTTTCTTAATATATTAACTTGTATTACATTGTGTCAAATTTATCAAATGTTAAACAAACCGTTATTTATTAAGAGATAAACTTAAAAATTCTATAAATATAATTTTCTTAATAAGAGAAGATTTCAATTTTTAATAATAATTAAAATGGTCTGATAATTATCTTGAGTTACATTACAAAATTTTTTTTTTAAGGAAAATTTTATTTAATGGGTCTTCAGTAATAAACTAGAGACCAATCAACAATATTTTTATAAAATTTGGAAACAATTAATACAATTTTTCTTGAAAATAAACCTTTTGTCTTGAAAAATCAATTTTTATTTATTTATTTATTATTTATATCTTTATATAGTAGCAGAAGTTAATTTATAAAAACTATTTATAAAAACTATGTCAAAGTAAGTTTCTCTCTTACGTTACTTAATATTTGCATGAATAATAATGTATTTCCTTTCATTGTATTTTTAAAGAACAATAGATGACAGTAAACCTATGTAATCGATTCGAAATTTACATTGGCCAATTCTGTGAATCGTATCAATTCTATGAATCGATCACTGATATACTATAAAAAGATCCTTTTTTTGTAATGTAATAAAATATAAATTTTAAATAAATAAATCAAATATATATTTGCTATTTTCTGCTATTCTGTCATTTGATCAAATGTATGTGTAGATCAAATGTATGTGTTTTTTCGAAATACCAGCTTTTTGTTAGATATACACAAATTTACTTTATTGCACTGTCAGCTGAATATTTTCACAGTTGTTGTCACGTACGCGTGACTTTGTCTGCTAGCAATTATTAACTTGCTTGATTTTTTATAATAGTTAAAAGAGTTTCATTACAAAAAAATTTTTTGTATCAAAATAATTCAAAATATATTGACAGTATATGAAAATTTTTGCGCAAAATACTCATTTATAAAAATATTAAATATATAATCGAGATATAAAATGAAAACAATTAAATATTTTATTGTTCTTGTTAAATGTATGATTGATCATAGTGTTTAACATATTTAGTAATAACAAAATATTATATATTTTCCACATATTTAATATAATAATATTCATTCGAGATATGAGTAATTATAAAGCTATTTGCATTACCAAACATACATTTAGGTATTTTAAACAGTACAATGTGCTGACAATGCAATCTGTAAAAATGCATAAGATTGCAGCCTAAAACAATAATTCAGTCGTTGTAATTCGAATCTGTGATTAAGAACTACCATCAAATGTCAGTCAAAATTCTTAAACCTTCTTGAATGTTTTGTAACGCGAGTTGGATGAAAATATTTCAAAAATTAATACAGTCTCTTTAAAAAAAAATCATATGTGTTTATTAAAACTGTAAAAATTGTTGTATTAAATTGTTATAAACATTTTGTGTGAGTTATTATATGAATATTTGAGAAATACATTCACATTAATATTAAGAATTTTTCTTTAAAAATAGAATTCTCGTAACTAATATTTTATGATTATCTATTTTGATAACAATAATTGTTTAACCGGCAATTATTTTATGTGTAACTGTACAATAACTAATTGTAAAAAGACATATGTTGTATCATTAATGAATAAATTTTCATGTAGTTCTTGTAGTTCTCTTTAAAAAGAGAAGATATATGCAAAGTGAATAATAAGAATATTGGAGAAAACATTTCTTTTTATACTGTATTTGATTAAAATATATGACTTAATTTAAGCAGCAAGTTTAATTTTTAACCATTAATTTAAAGGAAAAAAATGACAGTCTGTTTTTGCTAATATTGTGAAACTGATTTCTTGAATTTCCAGTTTAGTGATTCAAAGATGGCACCTAATATTTCAACTACAAAAACAAAAATACTTACGGAGGAAGATTTTCAAAAAAATGAATCTTTGACTACAAAAATAATAAACGATGAAAATGATACGCAATACAAACGCGAAGTTTACGTAAAAACTGAAAAATGGTTCACGATGAAGCTAAAATGGAAGAATATTATATTTATTAGTTTACTTCATATATCATTTGTATATGTTTGTTTTACTTTTAAATTTTTCGAAAATCTGAAGACACTCGCGTGGAGTAAGTATTTCTTGGAGAATTCTGCTGTTAATTAAAACAGAAATGTTTTCCTTAGAAAATTT